TGTCAGCAACTTTCCTCCTCGTCAGCAACTTTCCTCCTCGTCAGTCACAACTTTCCTCCTCGTCAGCCTCACAGATTTTAGTCTTATTTCATCCCTTTTTACTGTGGAAATCAATGTTTCGGACAATGTTTCATACATGTGAAGACATCAAAGTTTTAACACTGTTTGGGGGTAAAAGGTGGTACATGTGTTATTTTTCTTACTTAGCTAGGTTTGCTGGAATTAACATCTGACCAAGTTTCACCCATATACATGTACTACAGAAGCAGAGGTGGACACAGACAGGAACAATGAGAAGATCCAAGATGACAATCGTTCCCAGAAACTCACCAAAGAGGACCTGGCAGAGATGGCCAAGCAGGGGGCGAAAGGCGAGGTGGGAGAACTGTTGTACAGTGTTGTACCGTTGTTGCGCATTTGTTGTACCGTTGTTGTACTGTTGTTGTGCAGTGTTGTACCATTGTTGTACAGTTGTACTTTTTTAGTCTTACTACTTGTTGGTGCAGCATGAGATCCAGCTTTATTTGTCCTAGAGGCAAATTTGTGAGTTGATCAGTCGACACAATTACAGATAAAGGAGCAGCTAATAGTAATAAACAACAGTAGTATTGTTGTCAGATAACTGTCCAAACTACCAACCTGGTGGTGTCACTTATTTTGAGTGCAGAAATGTGATGTTAACGTAATACTTTAATTTTCAGGAGATTATCGAGAAGCTGGCACAGAACAATGCTAACTTTAAGGAGAAGACAAGTTTCTCTCAGGCCAAGTATCTCAGGAAGAAAGGCAAAAAGTGAGCTATGTTTCCTGGTTACATGCTCTAACATTTAGTGCACATAAGTTTATCATGCTCTTTGTAATTAGACTGAGTATTGATCTGATGAATAGCACCCTGCATAGAGTGAAAGCTGAAGGCAATTCAGGATATCTGTATCTGTATCGGTATAGCCGGTATAACCGCCCTTCGGCGTAACACACCAGCTAAAGAATATGGCTTTGATGAAAAGAATAGATTTATTTGTACATGTATTTGTGGCATATTGTTTCCATTCCACAATGCTCTGTTTTTATTCCAGGTATCTGAATTATATAATAATCCATCGACCCACCCTTCGTCTGCTGTGCAACATGTACATGGCGAAGTCACCTTCCAAGATATGGTGAGGACTGAGTCACTGACACTACTTAGTATTACCAACACTACTTAGTATTACCAACACTACTTAGTATTACCAACACTACTAGTATTACCAACACTACTTAGTATTACCAACACTACTTAGTATTACCAACACTACTAGTATTACTAGTATTACCAACACTACTTAGTATTACCAACACTACTTAGTATTACCAACACTACTTGTATTACTAGTATTACCAACACTACTTAGTATTACCAACACTACTAGTATTACCAACACTACTAGTATCACCAACACTACATGTACTAGTATTACCAACTTTGAAAGATATCCAGAGATGTCTGCATGTAGTGTATACTGTCACTTTATTATTTATGTGAATCTGTCCTCTGTCGTACCACAAGCCAGAAGATTACACATATGAGCAATTTGTATGAGTCTTTCAGCCTGTCTATTGCATCAAATAAGTATCTTTATTTTTGCGTATGTCACTTACATAGCTGCAGCTGTACCAATAGTTCAGTGAAGAAATATCTGAGCTGTCCAAACATATCCTATTATCTGGGCCTTTATCTCTGTTTATAGATAATGTAATTGTTGCCCTTGTGTTCTGTGTCCACCTTGCAGCCACCTTCGCGTGGACACGTTGAGCCAGATGCTGACTGTGGGGAACGTCCACGCACATTCCAGGGTCGTGGTGGTGGACAGCTGCCAGGGGCTGGTTCTGGGGGCGGTCATGGAGAGGATGGCAGGTTTGTTTGTTTGTTTGCACATTCCAGGGTTGTGGTGGTGGACAGCTGCCAGGGGCTGGTCCTGGGGGCAGTCATGGAGAGGATGGCAGGTTTGTTTGTTTGTTTGTTTGTTTGTTTGTACATTCCAGGGTCGTGGTGGTGGACAGCTGCCAGGGGCTGGTCCTGGGGGCAGTCATGGAGAGGATGGCAGGTTTGTTTGTTTGTTTGTTTGTTTGTTTGTTTGTTTGCACATTCCAGGGTTGTGGTGGTGGACAGCTGCCAGGGGCTGGTACTGGGGGAAAGGATGGCAGGTTTGTTTGTTTGTTACTGTAACAATAACTGTTTTACATAGATTTTACCACACATCCGAAGATTCTGTCAAGGGATTCAACAGTAGAAGAGGAAACGGGACTCGAAATAAAGTTCCTATTGTTGCAGGACTTGGTACTCTGGTGCAGGTGTGTCATGGAGACTTCCCGTTCAGACATGTTCCTATTGTTGCAGGACTTGGTACTTTGGTGCAGGTGTACCATGGAGACTTCCCATTCAGACATGCCTACGACGCCTTCAACTTCCCCGCTTCATTTGACGAGATGCTGCTGCCATTTCCCATGAGTCAGCTGGGCTGTCTGCACGGTCCACAGTCAGCACAGGAGGGTCAGGGGTCAGGTGTCAGAGTACAGGAGGGGCTACGGCCTGGGGGTCAGGAGTCAAATGGAGAAGACTCCACAGGACAGGAAGCTAGGAAAGAACCAGGTGTGGAGGGACAGAAGGCAGATTCCATATCAGCACCAAGGACAGACCAACTGTTAGCACAAGGAGGCAGTGAGGCAGATGGGACGTGCACAGCTGACAAAGCCAGTAGTCCTGATACGGAAGCCAACGTGAAGGCAGAAACACTCACAGACACTGCTGATGCTACTGGCTCCACTAGAAAAAGGCTTCCATGGAAAGAATATAAAAAGGTATGAAGTTATGTAGGTAACAAAGTACAAAATGTACTTTCTACAAATTCTACAAATGTGGAGTCTAATGCATTTATTGCTTCTGAATTGTGTAGAGAACACGCTTTTTGTGTAGCCTTAATAAGGTCCATCCGCCACAAAACATTCTTCATTTCCCTGCACTGACAGGATCCTGCCCGACTGGAGAGACAGAGGGAGAGAAAGGAGAGGATCGAGCAGGCGAGAGAAGTTCTACAGCAGGGCAACATGGATGGGTAAGGCATAGGGGCACAGGGCAACATGGATGGGTAAGGCATAGGGGCACAGGCAACATGGATGGGTAAGGCATAGGGGCACAGGCAACATGGATGGGTAAGGCATAGGGGCACAGGGAACATTGATGGGTAAGGCATAGGGGCACAGGGAACATGGATGGGTAAGGCATAGGGGCACAGGGAGCATTGATTGGTAAGGCATAGGGGCACAGGGAACGTTTGCCCCTATGTCTTACCCGTCCATGTGTGTTTTATCTGTCCTGTTGCTGGCAGGTTGCTGATAGCGTGTTTATCTGTCCTGTTGCTGGCAGGTTGCTGATAGCATGTTTATCTGTCCTGTTGCTGGCAGGTTGCTGATAGCGTGTTTATCTGTCCTGTTGCTGATAGCGTGTTTATCTGTCCTGTTGCTGATAGCGTGTTTATCTGTTCTGTTGCTGGCAGGTTGCTGATAGCGTGTTTATCTGTCCTGTTGCTGATAGCGTGTTTATCTGTCCTGTTGCTGATAGCGTGTTTATCTGTTCTGTTGCTGATAGCGTGTTCATCTGTCCTGTTGCTGGCAGGTTGCTGATAGCGTGTTTATCTGTCCTGTTGCTGGCAGGTTGCTGATAGCGTGTTTATCTGTCCTGTTGCTTGCAGGTTGCTGATAGCGTGTAAGTTCCACCCCAGCCGGCTGTTGGAAGCCCTGCTGCCCTGCCTGGCCCCGTCCCGTACCTTCGCTGTGTACTGCCAGCACCGCGAACCTCTGGTGGACTGTTACACTCGGCTCAGGACCAGCGGGGGAGTCCTCAACCTCCAGCTCACAGAGACCTGGCTTAGGAACTTCCAGGTAGGCAACAGGCTGCATTAGAATCAGTTTAGATCATGCAGGTAGTTGGGTTGGTATTGCAGTAGTTGGGTTGGTATTGCAGTAGTTGGGTTGGTATTGCAGTAGTTGGGTTGGTATTGCAGTAGTTGGGTTGGTATTGCAGTAGTTGGGTTGGTATTGCAGTAGTTGGGTTGGTATTGCAGGAAACTTTTGTGGTCCGTTACCGCCCCATAGAGTGAAATACCCTTTTATTAACTTAGGCCACAGCAAGTAAATTTTATGGATGACATCATCCTCAAACTCCAAATCTAATGCGGCAAAAAAACAAGGCTGGCCAAAAAAAACAAGATTCCTAAGATTTCCAAATTCTAATTAATACATCATAAACATTCGTCGATGAAGGTTAGACATCCAGGTAATACGATACGCCAAAAAACAGTTACTCAAGCAACTGGATATGATTTTGAAAACGTCAGACGTTTCAGCTAGTATCCACTAGCTTTCGTCAGTGACTGAGAGACCAGAGGGGAAAGCAGGTTTATAAGTACAACCTGTTGATTGATATGCAAATAAAGTGAAGACAAATTTTGGGAAGTCAAAAAAGGAACAAAAGTCAGACAAGTCAAGACAAGATGATGCAAATTAGTCTGAAAGCTCCTGTTATACAGAACAGGAGCTAAACTTCAACATAGCCACTAACTTCAAACCTCACTCAACCCTCAGACAAAGACTGGTACACCCTAAGGACCGACCTCACAAAGGTACCAAGGCGAATGTTATTTACAGACTCAAATGTAAGGAGCCCAACTGTAACAACACCTACATCGGAGAGACAAGCCGACCGCTCAAAGTAAGATACAAAGAACATTGCCGACCTAGTGCCAACGGCTACTCCTCAGCTATTTTCCACCACCTACAACACAACCAGGGTCACTCTTTCAAACTCGAGTCCACGGATATCTTAGACCGCGAAACACGCTGGTGGGAACGGGGTGTTAAAGAGGCAATATATGAAAGAATGTACAACCCCACCCTCAACAGGGAAGGGGGGCTACGGGTCGATCTTTCCGGCACTTGGGATTTGGCACTCCCAGCCCTGAGGACAGACAACACTTAAGCTCCTGTTCTGTATAACAGGAGCTTTCAGACTAATTTGCATCATCTTGTCTTGACTTGTCTGACTTTTGTTCCTTTTTTGACTTCCCAAAATTTGTCTTCACTTTATTTGCATATCAATCAACAGGTTGTACTTATAAACCTGCTTTCCCCTCTGGTCTCTCAGTCACTGACGAAAGCTAGTGGATACTAGCTGAAACGTCTGACGTTTTCAAAATCATATCCAGTTGCTTGAGTAACTGTTTTTTGGCGCATCATAAACATTGTTATGAACAAGAAGTGATACCTATATTGTGAAAAGTTTAATGCCAACTATTACAATATCCATTTGTCATTCAAACTTTGAAGAATTAAAAAAAATCAATCATTGCACAAATGGTTTTGATCCATGTGAATTCAGGAGGCAACAGAATTTTATTTTATTTTTTTAATCAGGCTTCTGTCTGGGGGAGTGCAATCACCAAGTGGATGATATGAGATTGGTTTGGAAGGCCTCTGGGTGATTTGAAGTGAATCACCAACTCCAGTAAAAAAAAGTTTGCTCTCTAAAAAGTTCAATATCTACTGCTAGTCTTCACTATTCGCACATATAATTATTAATGCTGACTAGATCATAATTTACTTTTCACACATAGGGAGCTTTCTAAAATGTATTATTTTACTAGTGTTTGTTTGCCAACTCTGACTGAAATGATTTGATATTGCTGGCCAAAAGTTGCACTCCAGGCCTGACAGCTGTTGAATGGTTTGCAGATCCTCCCCGGCAGGACCCGGCCCGACATGCAGATGAGCGGCACAGGCGGATATCTGCTCTCAGGCATCACTGTTGCCACGGAAACAGACTCGGCCTCCAGCACCACAGAACCTCCCGTCACCGTGGCGACAGACTCGGCCTCCAGCACCACAGAACCTCCCGTCACCGTGGCGACAGACCCCGCCCACAGCACCACAGAACCTCCCGTTACCATGGCAACAGAACCTCCCGTAAAGAAAATCAAACTAGAAGCAGACTGATGTGTTTACAGACTGCAACGCTTGGTTATTTTTCTCACATGGAAATGTAACATTACATTGCAGTTAAAGTTGGACATAAGGACAGTCTTGTCAAGGATAGTTTCTCATGTATCAACGATACGAGTAGCTATAGTAGAAGAGAAGGATACTGTAACAGTCACTTTCTCTCGACTATTTTTTTGTAGTACGCTGATACATTTCATAAGTTTGAATGTCCCTGATGTTACAGAACAACACTTATGTCTACTGCCGATATGCACATTAAACTTTGAGAAAAATATGACATGCTTTCAGCATTCCCGCCATACAACAATTCAGTCCTCTAGACTAAACTAAATGTGTTCCTTTTTGTGATCAAAACAAGTCCATCTCCTTCCTGGGATCATCTGGCAGAACACTGATGGAATCCTCTCCTGAGCCACACAGCAGACATGTCATCTGATACTCCTGTAGTGTGGAACATGGAATATGACACTGTCATCTGATACTCTGTAGTGTGGAACATGGAATATGACACTGTCATCTGATACTCCTGTAGTGTGGAACATGGAATATGACACTGTCATCATTAATTATACATATTATATTAAATAAATTGTGAAAAGTGGCCTTTTGTGTCAGACTAAGGACAGCCATGTGACATCTTTAGACTGAATTCCTGTATCGTTTGGCAGTTCAAAGAAAGCATCACACATTCTGTACCCATCTCCTATTGTGTGAACAGAGCACCACCAACAGACACAGGCCAGGGTTTCACATGCCTGATCAGCAACATGTCCCAGCAGTTGTGCTTGATTGAGTTGGCAGCATGCACAGGTTTGGTAACCTGGCTTCATGCTGAGGCCTTACCTGATAGCCTTCCTCCACACAGAATCTGTACTCGTGTTCTGCTATCACATGGTCACAGTTCTGGCACAAATCTATACAAAACAAACACATGGTCACAGTTCTGGCACAAATCTATACAAAACAAACACATGGTCACAGTTCTGGCACAAATCTATACAAAACAAACACATGGTCACAGTTCTGGCACAAATCTATACAAAACTAGAGTTCCACGATCTCATACCTTCGCCAAATGATGTTAGCTTTTATGATTAAGAAATTATATATTAATCCCCCTAATTATGCAAATAGGATCCTCAATTGCATGAATTATATCTGTTGATCAAATTCTCCACCAAAAGACAGTCTTATCTTAACAAAGAATGCCATGATGACATTTTCTCATAAATTATGCAAATGAGGTCCTTATTTGAATAAGTTATGTTTAATTATGTTCACCTTAACTTAACTTTCAAACACCCCAAGTATAAAATTCCAGGCAGTTACCACTATGCAATTATAATATTTTCTCATTAATTATGCAAATTAAGTCTTCATTTGCATAATCGATATCTGCCTGTGTATCTCTCATTCTTAATAACATATGTCACAAGCTTGAACTTCCTATTATGGAATGCAGCTGATAAATAGAATTTCCTCATTAATTATGCAAATTACATCCATATTTGCATAATTGTAATATCATTATGTCAAGCATCACTCAAGCTACCTACATACCAAAAATCATGATGATCCATCAATCGGTTCTTGAGTTATTCCCCTTTAAACATTTGTCCTTTAAACCCCCCTGCAGTTCTAGAGCAAGCAACTAGGGGGCTCAAACTCATGTCACTTTGTCCCCAGCACAAGAGCTATCTACCATCTAAATTTCGTCACCCTAGCATGTCTGGATCATGAGATATCAAAACCGGAAGTTCTGCTGCAGTACCATGACAAGCCGCCAGGTGGCCCAAAATCCAATCATTTTGAGGTCTCATCAAGCCCTACCCACCTACCAAGTATCAAGACAATCCATCAAGACCTTCTCAAGTTATCGTGTTGACAGACAGACAGACAGACACACACACACACACATACACGAACGCCCCTGAAAACATAACCTTCTTGGCGAAGGTAACAAACACATGGTCACAGTTCTGGCACAAATCTATACAAAACAAACACATGGTCACAGTTCTGGCACAAATCTATACAAAACAAACAAACAAACACATGGTCACAGTTCTGGCACACGTCTACACAAAACAAACAAACAAACAAACAAATATGATCACGCACAAACATGTTAACGTGGAAGGTCAATGCTCTACAGACCGTGTGATTTTATGATACTATAGCAAGGCTAGGATACAAGTGTTCTTATTTACTCAACCAATTCTCACCTAAGTGTGCTGACCTTCAGACACCTTCCTCAGAGCTTCTGACTGGAGTTCTGCTTCTCGCCGCTATATCAGTATATGTTAGTGATGAGGAAGGTGTCTGATAGACATCAAAACATCAGCACATTTAGGTGAGAATTGGTTACATGTATCCTATACTCAACCAACCTGATGAAACTATTTTCGGAAATATAGCAAGGCTAAATTACAACGACTTATAACTTATCCAATGGTCAACTATGACTTATAGCTTATCCAATGGTCAACTTACCACTATCATTGCAAATTAACAGTCTAGGGAAGGCAAATTAACTATTGCAGTACTGAACGTGCGTTACGTTGGTATGTGATGACTTGTTCTTGCTCCTCCTCCCTCTCTTCTTTGTTGTGGATTTTGATCAACTCTTTTTTGTTACAATGTGCACAGGACGCAAAGTTCATCAGGTAGGACCCACTCTCCAGGCACGTGTGGCCCTGGAAAACAGCAGCAAGTTACTAGACATAATTCATGTTGTAAAAATTATATCAAGGGTCTCAAATCCAAACCGCTTCCTACTCAGCCCTGGTAACATCCCGGCCGTCTGCTAGCCTCTACCAGGCACCGCGGATAGCTATTATTAAGTATATTGTCACTGGCCATACATAATTGTCCGATAGTATAAA